TATACAATATATATATATATATATATATATATATATATATATAAAACTAAACAGCATTGCACAATAAATAATGGCAAGCGAATCTTGGAATGTCTTGGTGACGGGAGGTGCCGGTTATGTTGGTTCTCATACAGTATTGGAATTATTGCAAGCAAGTCTTCAGGTGGTGGTAATAGACAATCTTAGCAATGCATATGAAGGTGAGGTTTAACAAGCTCTTTGTCAAAAAGTAATGATATGTTACATTAATTTACTAAATTAAATAATATATGAAAAATGATATGAGAATATAATGTAAATAAAATATTGTCTACTTAAATTTAATATATTTATTATCAGTAATACAGCATGATGCATGAAAATTAGATTCAATATTTATTTTAATATATTGACACTATTTTCTTATGTATTGTATAATTGTTGCTTATATGAATATATAAAAAAACTTTTAATTTTCCAAATTATCTTGCTTATGTTTACAGCTTCTAATTCTCAGAAACCAGAGTGCCTCCTTAGAGTGGAAAAATTGACAAGTAAAAATGTTCCATTTATCAATTGTGATATCACAAATATCAATGATCTGAGAAATGTATTTCAAAATGTAATTATATATTTATTTGCTGGTCTATTTTATACTGCATATTTGATTCAATCAAATTTTTATTTTATTGTAGTATACTTTTCATTGTGTTATGCATTTTGCTGCATTGAAGGCAGTGGGTGAGTCGTGTCAGAAACCACTCGAATATTACAAGGTCAATGTTAGTGGAACTATAAATCTATTACAAGTTATGCGAGAGAACAATGTAAAGCATTTTATTTATTCGAGCAGTGCTACAGTTTATGGTGTACCTGAACAACTTCCTTTAGCAGAGAACATGAAAACTGGCAACTGTACAAACCCTTATGGAAAAACCAAATTTATGGTTGAAGAAATATTAAAGGATTTGTGCACATCAGATAAAGTACGTATCATTGTGTTTTCTCTGCCTTGTGATCTATTTTAATAAAGTTATTTTCAGGAATTTTCTGTTATATCTCTGAGATATTTTAATCCTGTTGGCGCCCATCCCTCAGGTGAAATTGGAGAAAATCCAAATGGAATTCCAAATAATTTAATGCCCTATATCGCACAAGTGTCTGTTGGAAAAAGAGATATATTGTATGTTTATGGCAATGATTATGATACTCCTGATGGTACAGGTAAGATTTAACATATTTTGTATTGCTTGACATATAACTAGATAAAATCCTTTTAATAATTATTTATACAAAGAATTCATAGAAAAAAATTTATAGAAATTCACAATAATTGTTAAAAATATCTTTGATTAAATCTGGCAGGTGTACGTGATTATATTCATATTATGGATCTGGCGATAGGACATGTAAAAGCTATGATGTATCAAAAAACTCAAAATCCAATGGGATTTATGCCAATAAATCTTGGCACTGGAAAGGGTTATTCTGTGCTTGAAGTTATACGTGCGTTTGAGAAGGCATCTGGAAAGAAAATACCGTACAAAATAGTTGAACGTAGACTAGGCGACATATCCGCCAGCTATGCAGATGCTAGTGTCGCTAATAAGAAACTAGATTGGGTTGCTACAAGAAATATGGATGATATGTGTAAGTTAAAAATAATATATAAATATAATATACATAGTAATATAACAATCATTATCACATGATGTGGTTTAAAATTAAAATCTTTTGATGTTCTAGGTGCAGATACATGGAAATGGCAACAAAATAATCCAAATGGTTATAAACATTAATAAATACATTATTTATGCCTAAATAATTATAAGAAGTTTGAAGATATTGCATTTTATCTTTTGCATATCATTGAAACCAAGGTGGTATACAGTTACCAAAGTTTAGACCAAAGTATGAGAAAAGTAATTATATATTTTTTGTTATATTAGGTGAATTTAATATGTGATAAATATAATATGCATTCATATTTAAAGAGAAATGTTTAATATTGAAGAAGTTTTATTCAGCATTTGGTGCAATATATAAATGAATGTATTGAATATTTTAAAGCTTATCTATATTATATACACACACACACACACACACACACACACATATATAAAATTACTAA